CTCTCTCTTGTTATATATATATATATATGTATTTTTTCTTTTATTTTCGAAATGTTGGAGCCACCGCAATCAGAGTTGGCGCCTCGGAGAATCCCGAAAGAATGTCAAGCATCCTTTTATCTCCGTCCTCCATTCGTCTCTATGGATACCAAATGAGTAAAGTATTATCATCTTGGTCGTAGCAGTCGAATCGAGGAGCAGCAACGTTTTTCTCTTTATCTATTATTTAGTTAGTCGCTTAGTTTTTTTTTCTTCAATAATCTGCAATTAAAACTCTTCTTTTGAAATTATCTCCAAACTGAATTAGTCAATCAACTTAGTAGGAAGTATTATGACTATATTAATGTATTTGTGATTGGTCTATCATCATCAACGTTTAACTATTACAACGATGTTTAGTGTACGCATGCAACAAGTCCGAGACTTTGTTACTAAAGCGATTATCCATTGGTTTTTGATTGATGAAGAAAGTGTTGAGGGAATTCGCGTTGATGGACGGCGATTAGTGTCGGGGATATTAGAGATGAAGGTTGATTCGAGCAAAATCTAGGGTGTTGCTGGTCCGATAATCTTGTTTCTAAACTTTTTTCATCACAAAAACAACACACCCTCGACGAAAGAAATAATAAACAGATGAATCGTTTTTATTGTTTTCTTCTGTTATTATTTCTTTGTTTTGTTGCATCATCGCCCTCTCGAATAATGATGGATAAAACAACGACATTGAATTAACAAAGTGACACTTGACTCTCGATGAGGTTGCCAAGGGTAGTTTCGCTATCGTCAATTATTCAGAGCGCGACCGGAGCGCCAACATTGTAAATCAATTAGATGTAGTGTGCGAGTGAGTGTGCATATACCTCCTCCTCCTCTATGGGATGCGAACGTGTACTCGAAATTAAATACCCGTGGCTTCCGTTCGTCCATCATTCGTCCTCTTCTGCATCTCTTCGGGGATCAATTAAATTCACAGCCTCCCCTTCAGAATTGGCGCGGGCAAACGCTCGCACGGTCATCAATAACAAACTACTACCATCCCCAAAACAAAAAAAAAAGAGAAACGAAACAACAAAAAAAAAACAAATATATAGATATCATCAGCAAAACGTAGTAGGCGAAACAAACAAAAAAAAAAGAGAAATAAAACAAAGATTGCGCATTTCCGGGGGAGCCTAATTTGACTCGTACAAATCGTCTCCATTTAATTCTCTATCTCTCTCTTTCTCTTCTGGCACTCTTGGAGCACTTCCGGTGAAATCAGAGATGAAGAATTTCGCAGGTGGCTATGATTGTTGATTCCTTTTTTTCTCTCTATCTTTTTGTTTGCGCGGGTGAGACGTTTTTTGTTTTCGGTCGTCCGTTGTTTTGCGCCTTCTTGATTTTTTTCTTCTTCTCTTCTAAGGGAGACGCGTGTGTTATTATTATCATCCTTTGCGCGCGATCCGTGTTATTGATGCCTCCTTTTGCGGTCGCCGCTCGCATCCGGTCCGGATCACAGTCGTCGTTTCTCTCGAAAATTCTATATAATTGTCCTTCCCCAAATTTTTATTATTGCAGAGAAAAGTTGAAAACATCGTAAATTGGCTCAGATGTAATTGAGGGGTGATGGGCAATGCATTTGAGAGAGAGAGATCGTGGGAGCGGAATTCCCGCGAGATGGGGCGGACGGCGACACCGTAAGTTCATTAGAAGTCAATCGAGTAACAGGCGTATAAACGCTCATGGGACTCATCTCTATTTCTCCCTCTTCATCATCCCTTTTTGTTGCAATCTCTCTCTCTCTGTCTCTCTTTAAATGCGCTCGCTTTGAATAATGGAGAGATCAAACGACGGGGGGTGTCCATGCTTCACCCTACGAACAATTGAATCCGCCGGATTACATATCGCACTTGCCTTGCTTTTGCCTCCGCTCACTCCATCTCTCGGCCCTAATTAAATATTAACTCAATTACACTCTTATCCAATTTGCCACCGCCGCCTCCTCTGTTCTGCTGCTGCTGCAGACTTTTCCTTCCCTCCTCGCAGCAGCCGTCGCGATTTTAATCGGCCGTACGCTCATCATCAAAAGCCCATCGTTATCTGGATTTCCACCACCACCACCCGGGATCAATTCATCCCATGCACTCTCTCATTGCCAGATTGACCGAACGAACGATCGCCTTTTGTTAAACTCAACATGTCACTTGTTTCCATTTAACAGCTGTCTCTTAATAAATTACTAAAACTTCTATTCACCATTAAAACAATGCAGTTTGTAACTGCAATTAAATTAATAACTTTAAATTACTTTAAGGACATAGACGATATAAATAATAATGGAGAATATTTCGAATTTATTTAAAAGAAAATAATAAGGACCCAATTAAAAAGATCGAAAAATATTTTTAGGGAAATTATACTGTTTCGTTCATCATTTGTCTCCTTTTTTTGGAGACACAGGCATTTGTCACGCGATAAAGTCGGCTCCTCTCTCTTAGTCTTCCACAGTCAACATTCATTCATTCTCATCCACCTTTCGTCCCCACGAAAGATAAAAGGGGGCCCTCTTCTTCCGATAATCGTCGTCGTTGTCGTGGCAAGCTGCGAATGTCCAACAATAATTACACCTAATGATACACACGGTAGTAAATAGTAAATAGTAGTAGGCGACGGATCGATTTTATAATTGCGTTCTTCTCTCCTCACCGCGCCTTTCACGATTACTATGATGATGATGATGATAATAATGGTAAGAAGACGGAACCGGAGGAGGAAAGGTAAAAATAGTAGAAATAGTCGTCATTAGGTGCATGCTATTCCCATTTCATCGCCGCCGTTGATCATTATCTCGGAACAATGGCGAATCGCAATTATAACAAATAAACGGTCGACAATTTAAATTCGATTGTTTTTTTTTGTTCTAATTGCAATTACCCGCGCTTTTTTTTTTGGTAAACGTCAATGTTTGACGTCAAATTAGATTTGTTTGATGAACGTCAAAAAATAATCGTAACTAAATTTGAATTTACGTTCAGTCGAGTGGATGGATTGTTTGTGTGTTTGGGGAGAGTAAAAGGAAGGATAATGGATGGGATTCACTGCGAGAGAACGATAATCCGATATGCGCTTGTGAATTAGGTGCAAAATGCTCGAGGGGGTGTTTTTCGCGTTTTCGCTTTTTGTTTTCGTTTCGTTTTGTTTTTCGGGATCGAGTTGAAAGTAATAAAGGGTGAGTTTTGATAAAGAGAGAGAGAGAATGGAGTAAATCCAGTCAGGGCGAATAAAACACGATGGAGGTGGAGGCGGTTAATTGAAATGGGGAAAATATTCCGTTTGTAGCGTTGGCATCCCTCGCATCCACCAGCGCACGCTATATTCCCGATATTAGATTATGTTTTAATCAACAGTCAGAGGCGGCGGCGGCCATACGTACCGTAACGTAACAGCAGCAGCAGCAGCAGCAGCCGCCGCCGACCATTACTCAAACTTGACGTTAAGTGGCTAATCCGATTGTGCTACACATCGCACCACCCTCCTCCACCAAAAACAATCGTACCGAACGACCGACCTGCACCCCTCATCCATTTCGAATCAAATAATAAAAAAAAAATTACCCCAACAAACAAAACCCCATATCCATATGTCCCGAATGCGAAAGCAATTATCGAATGATCACCCTTTTTCATTTCGCCTCCGGACGGGAACTGCAAAAATTACAACCCGAGCAAACGAAAGAAGACAAAAAAAAAACAAAATACATTCACGTAAGCGGTAAGTTATGCAGATGGCTTCGGTCTGTGTGTGACGTTACAATTAAAGCACTTACCGCGCGCTCTCCGTACACGTTTTTTCGCTTCTGCCCGGTCGCAATTAATTACGACGAAAGCGAATCCATTCCCCGCACTTATCGCGACAAACGATTTACCTACCTCTTCATTTTACACACTAAATTCACCGTAACTAATCGATAAATCAATTATTATTATTAAGGTTATGTCAATTAATATGGCCACCGTCAATAAAGACGCATAAAAAATGGCGTCGGCGTCCCTATGATAAGACGCCATTTTTGTTTATAAACAAATTTATTTTAGCGATAATTACAATAAACTTACGTTTTCTCTCGTATGAATCTAACAAGTATTAAAAAAACACCAACAGATTCAATTCTGTTGATACAATTTGCGTTATCAACAAATTAATTATGATTAATAATAAATATAGGATGATGATGGTGATAAACAATATGGCGTCGGCGTCGTTTATAAAAAAACAAAAAACACGTCCATCTTGAAAGCGGACATATTTGAAATATAAAATGACAAGATTGGTTGAGTAAAAAAGAAAATATGCAAATATAATAATCTGTTCACTTTATTAATTTCCTCCTCTCAGTTATCGTCGTCCATTCACGTAATACCTAATAATAGCAATAATAATAATCGTAATATAGTAATAATAATAAACAAAATAATCATAAACTAGTTAGTGCTGGATGCAATTAATGATTTAATCGCAGCTCTCGTCTCGTTCTTTATCTACAATTACATTGTTCATTCACATCATATAATAATAATATACAGTTAGTTAAAAGATCACAACTACTATTTCCGTCATCCACTTCAATCAATCAATCATTAAATTTATTAATTAAACTCTCTTTCTTTCAAATATATTTTCATTTCCAATTTATACAACGCGCACTTTGTTTTTTTTTTCTTCTTTTCTTCTTTTTTTTTTTGTTTAGAGATTGTTTTTAAGGGGGGTGGGGTTAATGTTAAATTAAATTAATCGTTCAATTTCATTTTTAGTCTCTCTCTTCGTTAAACTAAATTAATTTAATTAACATTGAAGTTAGTTTTTACACATTTAGTTGAGCACACTCACTTATTGCACTAAAGTTTGTTTTTTTAAAAAAATAATATATATATATTTATATAGTTTTCTTTTTGCTGTCATCTTCTTTACAATTATTTATAAATAATCTAGGTGCGCGCGCGAGAATCACTTTGTGTTTTGTTTTCTTCTTTTTCTTGTTATTAGTTAGAATTATGTACAATACGGTTTTTGTTTTTTCTCTCTAAATGCACAAACAATCTTCATCAAAAGTTAGGTTAAGCTTTCATCATCGACGTGTACTAATTGATTAATTCTAATTTACACACTCTTTCATTCTTTCCTTCTAACATTCATTCATCGATCATTCTTCATTTACATATATATAATTATGTGTGTGTGTTTTTTTAACTTTCTTTCTTGTTTATATAAATAACAACAGTCTCTGCTTCTGCTTCCTCGTCTTCTTTTATCGGATCGTCGGGATGCTGATCCGTCATTTGTTCGTTTCCATGGCAATAGTTGATGTGTCATTAGCAGATGGACTCGGTGAGGGGCGGCTGCGGGGCGGTGTAGGGTCCCGCCCACGGCTGCAGATTCTGCAGGGCGCTGAGCGCGGTGTCCGCCGGTCCGGGGGCGGAGGGCGCCGCGCCCTCCGGCATGTAACCCTTGCTGAGGGCCTCCGCCTGCAGCGAGAGCATCAGACGGTTGGCGGCCTGTCGCTCGGCCTCTCTTTCCTCCGCGGTCTGTCGTCTGCAAGAGAGAAAAGAAACAAAAGAAACAAATAAAACATTAGTACACTAACGGTTCATAGGGAGTGCGCGATGCGATGAGGGTGTTGATGCAAAATGAAGCTTTCATATTTAATTAACCGGGTAATTAAACTACGCGCGGCGCGCTCGCTAATTAGTATCATCCGCATTAGCAGCAACCACCTCCATTTCTCTCCATCTCTCTCTCTCTCAGATACGTAACGGTGCGTGCGTCGGACAGAGACGGATCGAGCCCCGAATTCTCATCGCAGAGATATGCACGAGTCTGAGCGAGTCGGGAGGGTTGTATAATGAACCGCTTTCCCTCTACTCTAACTCTCCACCCCCACCCCCTCCCGAAACACGCCGCCTACTCCGCCGCCGCCGCTCGAGCCAGTTTAATTAGACCCATTAATAATTACCGCGAGAAAGTTTAAGCCGCTTCCCCGGGCCCCGGCAGATGTCGCCCTAATCGCCGGCGACGTTCAATTATTAACAACCGCCTCCGCCCAAAGTGCTCCTTCCTCTCTCTCTCTCGTACACCCACCGCGGATGGCACAGTTTAAATCGCCATGGTGATATGCCTCCACCGCCTCCCTCGAATATTTCGCTCGGGTGCGGTTGCGGCGATATTTTAATTATGATTTACACCCCGAACGAGATACACACCAAACCCCCCCCCCCATTTGATAACGCGATTCCGACCGTAATATAAATTGCCTAACCGGAACGTCAAATTAATTACGTAATTGCGATGGAAATTTCCCCGAAATTACGTTCACCCGAAAATTTACGTTTTCTTTCATTAATCAAATTCACCAATTGAATCTAACATCTAATTTAAAATAATAATAACAATAATACGTTTTCTGATTGTTTTCTGGAAATGAGTTCGAAACGAAGTTGGCTGTGAGTTATTATTGAAGGTTTATCTAACATCACTTTTTCGGATTATAGTAGGCGTGATAAGTGAAAACGCGAGATAAAATAATAACGAGGTTTGACGTAATAGCAAAGTTGCGTAATTCCCCGGGCTAAACGCTCGTGTCAAAGGGATCAGGCGGAAATTGATCAAATTGAGGGGAAAACGGAAACGTCGCTGTCAAGCGGTGGTGTCTTCTTCTTTCTCTCTTTATACGCTTTCATTTGTTTCGAGAGGGTAACGCAAGTGCTATATAACCACCGCCCCCACATCGTTTTTCGGTTGTTTCGGGCGATACGGCATCGTATTAGTGTAATTGACTTGAGCCTGTCTGCTTTTGTTTTCGCCGCCGCCGCCGATCCTAATCGAATTTGCCGCCACCCCAATTGTTTCTTGTTCGTCTCTGGTTCGTGTCAGTAAGTTTCCGTGCTCCGCGAAACGACGGCAACAATAAAAGAGACCCTCCCTCCCCCCAACGCACCAAAACCTAATCCATTCCCACTCGATTATAAGGACGCAATAAACGGAAACAACCGCAATCGAAACTGACTGTCGCAGTTTCGGAAACTCTTCTTCGGTTCATTACCGCTAATCAATGATGACGATTAAGCTTTCCCGGCAAATAGGACTCCTTTTCTTAATTTGATAACACACACAAAAACTCGATCATTTCGTCGGGAAAAAATTGTGATTCAATTATTATTATTTCAACACTCGTCGTGAATCGGTCATGGATAGAGTGATTGATTGATTGATGACAGCTTCGCCTTTCGCCGCCTCTGCGAAAACCACCGCCGCCTCCTTCTCAATAATGCAACCGAAAAGGTTTTTCCAATGGGAACGGGGGTTGGATGGTCTTGGTTTTAAAGCCGTCAAGAGAAATCTCTCACTTCTTCCATTCTTTTCTTTTTTCTTGTTGTAGTTCATTTTAAACTTCCGTTTTTCCCTTCAATAATGCACGAAATAAGAGGGAAGAAGTAAAAAAAAAAGCAATCCGGACGTGCAGGTAACTTCTACTTATTTTTTTTTTCTTCTTCCCAAATTGTAATTACATGGTTTCGGTTTTTCCACCTCCTCCTTCCTGTGCCATTCGTTTGTTTTGTTGCCTTTTGTTTTCTTTATTTTTTTTTTCTTCGGTGCGGTCGAGAAACAAAACAGAAGTTTTAAGGAAACTGGAAACCGGTTATTAACAAAAAAAAAAAAAGAAGAAAGAAAGATCTGAGAGAAAACAAAAGCCGAAACAAAGTTAGAAACAAAAGAAATGAATGTGTCGTGCTGTTGCGAAAACTAGTTTTAAGTTTTTTTCGATAATGGAGAGAATAAATTTGAAATTTGATCTAGCAATCTCGGAGGAGTGGATAACAAATGAAGCAATTCACGGGTTGCTGCCGTTCGTTCGTTTAAATCTCTCTCTGTCTCTCTACTTTTTTTCGAGTGTCATTTGTTATTTTTTTTTTCGTTAATTGTCGCAGCAGGTCGTGCTCTCGATTGAAAAACAAATGATGTGAACGAGATTTTCGCGTAGTTGGAAGAGTGTGGGTGAGGAGAGTGGAGCGGCGGATGGACGGACGGACGACGGCTGCACGTGAATATTTAAACCTCTAAACACTAGACCTGTGTCGTCTTGCATTATTGAGCGAATTGTTCTGTCGCCTTCTGAATAATTGAGCGGCTTTTAGAGTGTCAAACCGACACCGTTCGCTCCGCACCTCCGCCTCATCCTCTTTCAAAAACCCTCCCCTTTCAGCATCCATCAAAACCACCACCCCACGTTGCAAACAAATTTCATTTGTTAAACAACAACAACAACAACTTTGCTTAGCAACCAAATAAATCTGCTTCTTTTGTTACTCACCGCCACTTGGTTCTTCGGTTCTGGAACCACGTCTTGACTTGGGCGTCGGTCATCTTCAGACTTTTGGCGAGCGCCGCCCGTTCCGCCGACGCCAGATACTTCTGCTTGTGAAATCTCTTCTCCAGTTCGGCGATCTGCAGTCTGGTGAAGGAGGTGCGCGGCTTCTTCCTCTTCGGCGGTGTTCTGTTCTGATACGGATGTCCGATCCGCCTGGTCATCGGGAACGACGCTGCGAAGAAATCTTCGAATTAATCGAAAAAAAAAAAAATGACGATAAACAAAAAAATAAATTAATTAATTTCTTAAGCAATTATTCGTTGTTGCGACAAGTATTGAGAGCCCTTTGGTTTCGCGGGGCTCTAAAAAACAAAAGAATACGACCAAAGTAACCTCTGCTTGTCGTAGGAGGCGACTAAAAGAGGGGGGGTGGGCGAGACATCATTTGTTTCTATTCCTCTCCACCCTCATCAACGCTCGTTGCCAAGGGGAGAGTAATGATGATAACAATCGAACAAACAAAACAAAACACACACAAACAAAATCGACACGAAACATGTGCTTACGTGTGGGGTTAATTGGGGATCGTAGGTGCTCGAAACAAGCGACGAAAAGGGGGAAATTACGTGAGTGAGTGTACCCGGAACAAAAACAAAAAAAAACAGAAGTGAATGAAACGAGCGGTGAGCGAGAAAACCTTAATTATGGTTAGAAAAAAGAGAGAGAGATGTATGCACGCCATTTTGAATTTTTTAATAAAAATGAGAGCGCGGCACGTGAAAACGTCATTAGCGGTCGAACGACCAATGCGAGTCGAGCTTTTAATAGAATTTTGTTTTTGATCTTCCCTTGTTTTCTCTCTTTCTCCCTCTCTCTCTCGCCGTATATTGTTTCAATCGGTAATAATGATACGGTTGTTACAACAACAAACCCATCATTGCCGCCGCCGCCGCGTTCGAAACAAAGGAACGTCCTTCCTCTCGATTATATATATATATATATATAACCTTGAACTTTTGTTTCAAAGCCTCCCCCTTTCGGTTAATCATTTCCCTCGGCGTTTTATCACGTAATAAGCGCGAGTTTAAGAGTTAAGTTGCGGTTACCGTAAACCGTGCCCACTCTCTAGTATTATCTAAAATATCCTTCTTCATCTTCCAGTTAATAATAATAATAATAACAATAATGCTGGAGGGCGAGGGTTGCTTTAACGATGCTCGTAAAAACAAAGGGGTAGCGCCAATTTACTCTCCTCGCAATTTATATACATATATTACCATGACAACAGAATGTTTAAAACAGAATAAACACAATCACCATGACGACAAACAATGAATAATTGAGGGATGAAATCGCCGTCTCCGGATCGTCTCCTTCCACGTCACGTAACGCAACGAATCAACAAAAAAAAACAATTGAACAATTAAAAAAAAATTGCTCATCGCTTATGGATGCGGGGGCGTTTAAAAATTCATCTTTTTTTTTTGTATTTCCATTCGCCACTAATAAAAATTCGCGAAACTCAAACCGAAACAAACGAAAAAATCGTCGTCAATTTTTCAACGCACCTTTTTTTTTTATATACAAGGACTGACAGCGAAAAACGATTAAATTATTTAAAAAAAAAAAAAANNCGACAAAAATGCATCGATTTCGCGAAAAATTTAACGAGATTTACGAGAAAAACGTGTACAATTTTTTTTTCAATTTTTTAGAAAGCAAATTATTATTCAACTGGTTTTCATGCATTTTCACCCCCTCCATCAGCAATTTTGTAACCTAAAATTTTAACGATTCGTTAGAAACAAAACAACATCAAAAAAACTTTTGACAGTTTCTAATGACAATTACACGTTAATTATTACTTTTGTTTTTTTTTCTATCGTTTCACCGTTACATCGATTAATCAGAATTAATTGTTACGTTTAATAGCAGATGAATTTATCAAATTTTTAACGAATAATTAAATCCGATGAGCGTAAACATAACGAAAGAACGTGAACGCGTTTGTTTTCGCTGGTCGCGGCGCATATATAAAACCCGATATTTAATCAATATTTGAGCGTATGCACACGTCCGATTTGCCCACAGCGATTTTAACGGTCCTCCGTTAAAATTCTGAAATGGGAAATACGAATGTACGTGCGATGGAGAGAGATAGAGTGATGTTATTAATTACTCATCATATAAATTTATATCGTTCATACGGTCAGCGTTCGTGTTTATATATATGACTAATTAAACTAATTAGGGAACATCGTAAATAATTAACCGTCGTTAAATTAAAGGGGGGGCGGTGGTGGTGGAGGTGAAGTGAGTCATGCCGTCGTCAATGTGTTAAATGACCTGGTAATTATTGTGTTACCAACCAAAATACGTCATCAAAAGTACATCAATTTTGATTCAGTCTGTTGGTAATATAATTATTATTGATATTACTACCGCAAAACATATCAATTATTATTAATGCATTAGTAATTATTGCATTACCAATATCAATAAAATTGCAATTGCAGTTACGAACCAGGATTTGTTAATGAAACGAACTACTAAATCATCCATTTTGTTGATTCTCCGAAACAAATGAATAAAAATAAAAGAAAGCAATGAGTTGGAAACAAAAGAGTGGTTGGTAGTAAATAACATGGCCGTCCATGATATTGCGCCCGCGGTGATGGCATGTTCCATTATTAAATGGAGAGATGGATATCTCTTCTGTCCGTGTGTATTTTGAGAGAGAGAGAGAGAGAGGACAAACAAAAGAATGAAAGAAGAGAGGAAAACAAATGAAAAATATGGAGGAAAAAAAAGAAGCAAACAAAGCACATGCATTAGCGTGGTTGTTTCGTTTCGTTTGAACACTACGTGATTGTGTGCGAGTGAGTGAGTGAGAGAGTGAGTATGTATAAATAACCGCTATCGCAACGAAATTACATTATTGTTGCATGTAATTGGAGGCCCGAACGGCGTCATTATGTAATTTTACAGAGTATTGTTTTTGTAATTAATTAGATTGTCGTGTTTTACCAAAAGCCCCCCGCC